AGGAAGAATTTCCCATGAGGAGCCAGAATTTATTGGGACAGTATATCCGGAAAGTATGCATGATGGAGGAGAAGACAATGCAGCCGGAAATGATCAACCTGATGAAGTCATGAACGAGGCTGTGCAGACGCAGATTAATGATGAGACGCAGAGTCCAGAACATAGAGTGTGCTCTCAGGAACCAGATCTGAATGATGGATTACCGAATGTTGATGAGGATGCATTCAATGAACATGCATTCATGAATGATGAAACGCCGGCGCCTGAATCAGAAGGGACTACAGCTCCAAACAAGCTTAAGCGATCTAGAGGTCCAACAAGGATGAAAGACATCACAAGAGATCCTAAAAGTGGCATAAAGGTTGAATTCAATAGCATGGGAGAACCGTATGGATCAGGATCGGTTAATCTGTCATCTTACCTTGGGCCCTTGGTGCGTGAACACGTCCCTGTCATTATTGAAGATTGGAGTAAGATTGGTGAAGAACGTAGAACAGTTCTATGGAAATCTATACAGGTAGACCCATTTTAATTTAGAATAAGGTAAGTATTATGGACTTGTTTTTTATTGTTTGATTTGGAATTTATTGTAGGCAAGGTTCGAATTAGATGAGGAGTATCACAAGATGGCTGTCATCAAGCAAATGGGTTGTATATGGAGGGCCTCAAAGTCGAGGCTAGTCAGCCAGATCAAGAGTTGTAAGAATAACGCAGAAAGATTGAAGCTTCGCCCAAAGAATATTCCACCGGCAGAATGGCGCAAATTTGTGAAGGCTAAAACTAGTGCAGCATTTGAGGTAATCACGTAGCCCTCACTTTACTTCCATATACAGATAACTGAATTTTCGTTTTCAGGAACTAAGTGACACATATAAAGAAAGAAGGCGAAACCAGATTCCTCATACTTGCAGTCGAAAGGGGATGGTCAGACTGGCTGAAGAGATGGTAATATTCCGTATGTGTAATACTGATGCAACTATATGCAAATAACTAACATTGCCACCTATTTTCAGAAAAAAGAGAGCTCTGAACCGTCTGAAGTAACTAGACTACAGGTATGGGTTAAGTCTCGAACAAAGAAGGATGGCACTGCAGTCAATACAAATGCAGCCGAGAAGATCGTAAGTAGTTAACAATAACTAGTTGGTTTATTTTTAAAAGTTGATGAATACTGGCGTATCTTGGCTGATGTCGAAAGTGTGTGTACAGAAAAAGGCAGCTGAACTTGTTGAAACGGTTTCTCCCTCTTCGACGTCCACAAATCCCAAAGAAGATCTCCTTTCTCAGCTACTTGGGCCTGATAATCCCGGCCGTTTGAGAGCGATGGGTAGAGGGATGAGTCAAACCAAGTTAGCATGCTTCCAGATGAAAAGCAAGTTTATGGATGATATGAAACGAGACCAACTAAGATTGATTCAGCAGGTCCATGATTTAGAGGAAGCACTGTCAAAAATACAGAACCAGGTAAGCGAGTATTTCATGTCTGGTGATAGTAACTCTGAATTTTACATTGTTATTATATTAACTTAGGTTGTTATTTCAAATTACATTTTTCAGAAACAAGAAGCTGAAGTCGGAGAGAATTCTGCGCCAAGAATAAACTCTTGTTTTGTCTTATTTAGCATTTAAAATATATGTTATATGTTTACATCTGTTTTTACAATTCACCATTAACGTTTGCAGAGTGTCAACATGAAATTACAAATGAAGTGTCTGTTATTCGACTGGGCTGGAACGGATGAAAAAGCTAGTGAAGGACGTATTTTGTCTGAAGAGCCTGAGGAATTTGTCAACAGTATACCCTTAGGCCCAAACTCGTACAAAGTTTTGGTGGAAACAGCGATTAAGCCAGAAGCTTATCTTTGGAGACCTACTCGCAACGTCTTTAATATGGAGCAAGCAGTTGGAGAGATGATTGCATGGCCTCAAAATTTTGTGGTTCCCTTTAGCAGCGGATCTGAACCAGAAGACATTACGCCTCTGGTAAATATTCTTTCAGTACGGAATATTATAGTTGAGTTTATAGTAAAAGTAAAACTGTGCAATGCTTGACAATGGTTTCATTTGTTTACTGCTTCACATAGTCCTAATACTAGCTCTCGGAACTTCTGCAAGCTGCTTGACTGGGCTAGAACTAACGAGGAAGTTGTTGCAGAGGGTCGTTGGCATTCTCGAGAGCCAAAAGCATTAGTCAACGGACTACCTCTCGGACCTAATGCAGTGAAGGTATTCGTCGATGTGGTTTTATGCCCAAATACCTTCCTCTGGAGGCCAACGACTGAGTTCTTAGATTTGGAGGATTCAGTCAACACCTTTGTCGCCTGGCCTGCTAATAGAGTAATCTTTGAGGCAAGTCCTGAAACGAGTTCTCCTATTGCTAACTCTGAATCAACTCCACCAGCTCCAATAAAAAAAACCAATGAAAGCAATGTCAGAAAGTTCTACTCCTATAACTCAGGTAGGTTTTCTTACTAAACTTTCATTTGTTTGGTTTGTTTGGATTTGTTGATTTCGTGTATATATATTCAAAATTTCTTCGCTACAGGAATCCAACCAAATGGAAACGGGGAATGAAAATAAGAAGTGGTTGGTGATGGCTATTACTGGAAAGAAGCGAGTGATTGCTGAAGGACGTTGGTCCACAAACGATCCACTTCAAACAGTACATTTTGTTCCCTTGGGTCCAAATGCAGTTAAGGTGTGGATTGATGTTGTCAAAGTTAAAGATGCTTACGTATGGAGGCCTTCGTCTGAGATGAGTGCATGGAAGATGCAATAGGAACAGCTATTGCTTGGCCAGAGGATAAAGTGGTACTCGTCTAAATGCAGTAGTCATCTGATACTTTAGTTTTTATCTTCTCTGAACTTAAGGATGGTTTTGTTGAAGACATAACCTGATATGTGTTTATGGTTTTCTTTGTTGGAAATGCTTGTATGTTGCTGAAACATTAACCAGTACTCAGTTCTTCTATATGGAAAAGCAGATGCATTTCAATTTTTGTTTACCAGGTTTTGATATTTAGTAAGTGCATTTCTTGAGGTTTTGGATATATCGTATTTGGTTAAAAAAAACCTACATCGCCAAATTCAATAGCACGTAAGAACAGCTCCAACACTAAACAATACAGCGTGAAAAAATAGATACAGTATATGATGTTGGAGCTAAAATATAATGCTACGACTCAACTAACAACAGCAATGAATTTCTCTTATAGTAAACTAGAATGTAGCTATAAAACCACGCTACTATAAAGGTGTCAATAACACAAAAATAAAGCTACAACATTTAATAATACAGCGTCTAATTTGTGCTACCGTATCATTTATAATAACATCATAACAATGCTATTATATATATGAATATAATAACACTTTCCATAAACGCTATATTTAGGGGTGTACTCTATTATAGCTCCGGCAGATACAGCGTTTATGAAAACGCTATGAAAGTACTTTCATAGCGTTATTCGTATGCTATGAATGTACATATTTCTTATAGTGCACTTTGAAAGGTTAGGAATGGATCAGCAAGTTGGGAATGAGCATCAGGCTCAAGAAGCTGATCACGGTCAAAGAGCTGGTAATGGGATTGGAATTCAAGCTCAACAGGCTCAGGTCCATCAGGGACACGCTCATGGTAACCAGAACCAAGACCTACCTCAAGTTAACCAGCCACAACCCTTCCCAAACCCACCAATACGTCATCAGCCCCAACCAGTCTTTGTTGGTGAGAATGACCGAGCTTATGCACACCAGTATGGAGCAGGAATCAGGCCACCTCCTGTCCAAAACAATAAATTTGAGGTGAAGGCCTCTTTGATCAATATGGTTCAGAATCAGAAGTTCCATGGCTTACCTATGGAGGATCTCTTGGAGCATCTGGATCAGTTTGACAGAGTTTGTGATCTCACTAAGATCAATGGGGTATCTGAAGACAGCTTCAAACTGAGATTGTTCCCATTCAGCCTTGGAGATAAGGCACATCAGTGGGAAAAGAACCTCCTAAGAGGATCCATCCACACATGGGAGCAATGCAAGATTGCCTTTCTATCCAAGTTCTTCTCAAGCTCAAGGACTGCAAAGCTAAGGAACCAGATTTCCAGCTTCACTCAACATTCTAATGAGACCTTTGGAGAAGCTTTGGACAGGTTTATAAGCTACACAAATAAGTGTACACATCAAAGCTTTTCAGAAGCCTCTCTCCTTAGCACTTTGTATAGAGGAGCTGTTTCTAAGATCAGGATTCAGTTGGACACAGCATCAAATGGAAATTTCTTGGCAAAAGAAATCAATGCAGCTATGGAACTTAGCCATGAGCCAAGACACTTATGGGGAAGATTATGATAGAAGCTATAGAGGAGAAGATTCTGGTAGACACCAAGAGCTGGAAGAGAAGATCAAAGTGCTGAATATCAAGCTTGACAAAGCCCTAGCTGCCACTCAAAAGCCTATAAACTATGTGAGTGAGGAAAAGAGATGCTTCACAAATACAAATGAAGAGAGTCTCACTCAAGAGGAGTTGCACTTCATTGGGAATCAAAACAAGTTCAATGGTTACAACAACTTCAATAAACACCAGAACTTGTCCTATAGGAGCAACAATGTGGCCAACCCCCAAGACTAAATATACCCTCCTCAAAGCTTTGTTCAACAGAATCAGTACCAAGGTAACTCCCAAGGTCAACAGGGTTTTCAGCAACCAGCGGTTCAGAATCAAGGGAATAGCTTCACAAATCAAGTCAGCCTACAACAAAGGCCACCACCTCCTGGTTTTGCCCCACCACCTGTTCAACAAATTCCTGATTTCACTGTTGTTCTCCAACAGCTCTTAATAGGACAACAAAAGATGGTATTCGACCTAGAGACACTAGGAGCTGAAATAATGGCTATTAAAAAGAACAAGGGCATCTGCACTTCTGAACCACAAGTGTCTCTTCCTGGTAAAGCTCTTCAAAACTCAAAAGATTATTGCAATGCCATCTACTCCAATGATGACCATTCAGCTGCTGTGCAAGAGATTGAAGACCTCCTTTATGGTCAAGTTTGTAATGAGAATGCACACACCCATGAGGATGAAGACACCATTATAGATGATTTCATGGGATTCTTACATGAACTCAATGAGGACATTGAGAGCAAAAGTGTGGGGGCAGCCGGTTCAGTTCTTTCTGTTCAGTAAGGGAATGATTCAGTGTCTCTTGAAACAAAGGAGCTGCCAACTGGTCAAGCAAAGCCAACAGATTGTGCCTCCACCTCTGAATCAACTCAGATGAAGCCCACCTCCCTCCCAAAGCTAGGCAACCCAGGGAAGTTCACCATCTCTTGCACTCTTGGCAACTTTAGAGTTGAGAATGCTTTGTGTGATTCAGGCTCAAGTGTGAGTATAATGTCTAAAAATATGATGGAGAAGCTAAAGGTCAAGTCTATAACGTCCTACCCTTCTTCTATCACCTTTGGTGATTCCTACTCCAAGAAACCATATGGATTTTTAGAAGACTATCCACTTCAGGTAGGTGAATGCATAATTCCCACTGATTTTGTGATCATGAAGATGAAGAAGACCAAAGAGCTCCCCCTATTGCTTGGAACTGCATTTCTCAACACCACTGGTGCAATGATTGACTTTGATACTCAAAGAGTGGTGCTTACAAAGGTGGATATTACCCTGTTCAACCACCTTTAGCTGAATTTTGTGGAGCAGTTGTCCAAGAGATAGAACCGCCTAAGGTACTTGAGATGAAGTATGTAGGAAGTGCTGGGATTTTAGGTGGATCCCAATCTCTTTCAGTTGTGGAAAATGAGAAAGAACCCCACATCTACTCTGGTTACAAGTATGAGAATGGAGGGCCATTGATCAGAGAAAAAGATATATTGCTCTCATGGTCTCCTACACTTAGTGATCTAAGGATGATTAACACCAAAAGTGATGGCTCAGCATCAGAAGACAAGAGTATTGAACCTGCTCTTTCTTCCCAAGACTTTGATCTCACTCCTTGGGTTGATGATGATGGTTCTCTGAAGTATAAGCTGGATTGCAATGGGAACCCGGTCTGTTTGCTTAAGTGAGGGCTTGTCTAACAAAGGCCATCTTTGATAAAGACCCAGATGGTATTCAAGAGCTGGTGGACAAAGGTCTCAAGATGGGATCTCAAGGACAAGGGTCTAATGGTTCCAAAAGGCAGCAACACAACTCAGCTTTCTTGCTCAGGACCATTGAAGTGCTGAAAAGGATCAGTACTCCACCTCACCCCAACTAAGAACAGGTTTTGCAAAGTCAAACTTAGTGACTTTAAACAAAGTGCTCTTGGGAGACACCCCAAGCTTATCCTTTGTAAATATTCTTTTTAATGCTTTCTTTTGGTGTTTTTAGGATGTTTTGATGTGTCTTGTGGAGTGTGTTCAGGTTACAGATGACCTGGTGTTCTTTAGCCTCAAGGAATGGTGGACAAGATGCAAGGAAATGCAAAATTTGGCTAAGTTCACAGTTTGCCACAGCCATGAATCACTGCTTGACCCAGGCGTGGCATGAGGCTTTTTCTTGGATGCCAACCTTCGGTGATTGCCATGGGGAGATTGCCACGCCCAGAATTGAACCGTGGCAAGTTGAATTTTGAATAGACCACCATTCGGCTTTTGCCACGAGAGGAATGCCACGAGTAGATTCAAGGTGTGGCAACATGTTTTAAGGCAGCAGAACCTTCGGCTTTTGCCATGGTCTCTTTGCCACGGTCACATCTAAGCCGTGGCAATGTGTTAGAGGAAGAACAAAAGAATGCCACGGGCTGTCCAGAGGAGCTTCCAGACCGTGGCAACAGGGGGTGGCAAGAGGAACAATGCACAAAAACGAGCTCCAGCCCTCACTACAAGCACGTTTAGATCAGTGCAAGGAGCAGCATCAAAACTAGGACACCTCAAGTGATGTTTAGCCCCCTGAGATTCACAATTCCAATGCCTCCATTCCATCAAAAACCAATCTGGTAACACTCCAAACTCCTTGTACATATGCATCTAGTTCTTTATTTCTCATTTTGCATCTTTCTTGCTTTTGCCTTTCACTCCTCTCTTATGCTTTTACAACACAAGGGACTGTGTTATTTAAGTGTGGGGGAGGGGTTTTGTGTTTACTAATCATGTTTTCTCTTGTTCTTAGTTTGATTTGCATCTTGAGTTTGCATCTAAGTGCATATAAAAACCAAAAAAAATTGAAAAATCAAAAACAAATTTCACAAAAAATGATCATGTAGTTGCATTCACATTTTTTAGGATTGAGTCTAGTTTGCATCATATAGGTTGCATCTTGCTGGGAGTAATGATATTTTTTCCTTGAGAGTACATCACTTTGAAAATTTGTATCAAATATGCTTGTGAAATGATTTCTGTGCTTGCAAGGCTTGAAATGATTTGAATCTGAGAAGCAAGTTTGAATTGAACTCAACTCTAATAAGTGAAAACCCTGAACTTGACTTGAAATTATCATTTGGTGCATTGTTTGAATAAGCTTGTGGATACCAATATACATATTTGAGCTAGAATCCTGTTTTTACCATCCTCTTCCTTAGCTCAAATAGCTGAATCTGCATAATAGATCAGTTTTCCTCACCCTTAACCCCTCCTTCTTTCAAGCCAATTGTTTGTGTGTGATTCAGAGGCCACCTTGGACCAAACTTAGCAGAAAGTGTTAGGTTTAGGGCGACAAGGGCAAGTCTCATTGAGTGCTAAGTTCCATCATCAAGGAGCTGAGAGATTTGGCAAGAACTAAGTGTGGGGGAATACTTGTTGGTGAGTGGAAAAAGGAG